GTGGAGCCACAACCTTTTGCCATGATTTTGATCGTTGTGCAAAAGTCCCTTCAAAGATGTCCGTCCTTGGAGCTCTTTGGGGTTGGCTGTAGCGGAACACCTCAGGCAATGCATCAAGCTGATGAGCCCGAAAGCCCGGCCAGGGAGGTTGCCAGATTGTGTGGTTTTTCTCCGTGCCTTTACTCACATGGACATCGGAGACATTGGAGACAGCAAAAAGATTGGTGATGGGTCGCAGTGCCTGTCAAAAGGTTTTTGATGATGCCGCCAGACTTCATGCACTGTAGGTCTTTTGGCTGCTCTTCTCATGTAGAGAAGCAAATGTTCACAAGTTGGTACATGCAGCTCCAGAGCAAGGGTGTTGCTATGAGTTCCAAGACTGCCAGCGCTCACATGCAACGTGCGAACACGCAACCAGTTACAACAAACGAGCACAGTCACATTGGACTTCATAGATACTTTCTAAATCTGCTTATCATATGTGTTCTATGTTCTTATTGTGTTGTGAAGAACACCTTGTGCGTCGGGAGGATGACATCTCTAGTTGCCCTTGAGAGCGGCCAAGTGTTGAGGTTCATCAACATGCAATACTTCAGCATCATTCAGAAGCTAATTATGCCACTGCCCAAGAAAGATTTTGATTTGAGGAGGCGACGTCAGAGCATTGCGCTCTCGTTTGGATCTTGCAGTCTGCCTGGTCAGCTTGGCATGAAACCAATAAAATCGAGCAGACTTGTTTTACATATATTGATATTATATATATATATATTATGTTGATCATATATATATATATAATCATATACATATTGTGTCTTTTTCGTGCTGAAATAGTGGCTTCAAGCCACGCAAAGGAACATGGTGTGGATCCTGCTCTTGTCGCTTGGTGGCAAGTCGTCCCAGACACATCCTTCCCCACTGACACATCGTGAACCTACCTGACCCCCCTTTGTTGGATCAGTTTCCTTCTGAGATCTCCTGAGCAACTCGGATATTCCAGGTCGATGAAGCCAGAACATGTTATATACAAAGGATGTAAAATGAATACATTGTAGTCGCTCAGTGGAGTTTGTCCTGGAAGATTCTTTCGATGGATGCTTCCAGGCCGCTTTGATGTTGAGATTGAGACACATCCTCAAAATGCCAAGGTCGCACTTCATCGGCTGTGGATGGTACGCGATTGGCATGGAGGGCTTTGATCCGCAGGACAGGAGAAAGAACCCTGGAACAAGTGGGACAATAAGAATCAGATAATTACATTCAAGATGATGATGTGTCAGTTGCAGGACACTTCACCTGAAACATGGACCGTTTGGTCATGTTTGGTCAGCAAAGCAACTCTCACGAAACTGGGGGAGGATCCTATTCTTCTCAGGCCAACAGTGAGTGGCCTTGCATTTGTTCAACTCGTCGAATCTCCTCGCAACTCTGCGCGTGTGCAGACCTGAAAGTGGAACAAAAAACGTGTTCGACTCATCGAATCACCTCCCACGCGGCACTTGAATCATCCGCGGCACTCGTGCCGGGGCATGTCAGGATTGGATCTCGGCCAATGGCATCTCCGATCGCAGCTTGGAGTACAGGCGAAAGCGCTCCGCGCGCTCCGCGCATCCTCCGCGCTCCGCGCATCCTCCGCGCTCCGCGCATCTCCAATGGGATGAGAGGTGGAGTCGGTTGCTTGGGTTGTTTGGTTGGTGGGGTGGGCTAGGTTAGTTGGGCTGGGCCTTTTGGTTGGGTTGGTTCGTTGGTGATTGATTTGTAAACCCTTCTTGTCAAAAAGCGGTGGTGGGCACCGTGGGAGGTTGTACACTAATTAGTTGGAGTAATTAATCATAAACAATTACTGCGACTGGGACAAATCCCAAAAGTTGCAGGTAACCAGATTCCCACACTCAGCAAGTAGGTCTGTCTGGTTCAGTTCTGTATTCTATGTTAGAAATTGAAGCACAACCAGCTCTCCAAGAAATATCCACCACTAGAAGAGTCACTCATGTTGCTTTGCTGCTGTCTCGCGGGACAAAAAAAGCGCAGGTGACTCGGTCTGTCTGGCTCCTGTGTTCACACAGGAGTCGAGCCCATGTCTCGGTTCGGTTGGGTCCAACCACGGCAGGTATTTGACCGCTTTACATTGGTCTATCACCCAGTGAGTGGCTTAGTGTTTGCAGACTAAACACTGAGTTGCCGCCTTGGGGAAAAGGCTGGAAAAGGCTGAACAAAGCTAACGATGAGCTTCAAGGTCACTGTCCAAAGTTTCAACTAGAAATATTGGTGTATCTAGTGGTGCATCTCCTCTATATTACATCAAACATCATCAAATGAGAATCAACATACATACCCAAAGCCAAGCATGATGACAGCATGCTGCGGACATGTTCAGAATTGTCATTTCGAGTGGTTTCCTTTGCGGAAATGCCAGACTTCCCCAAGAAACCCTGGTTTGACGGATTGCGAATCCAGGTTTACTCCTGGGTCGATGAACATCCAGCCAGTGAATAGCAGCCATCTCAGTACCAAGACACCTCAAAACAGGGTTGATGGGTGGGGTCAAGACCTGTCAAGACGAAACACCCCAAAGCACGAGAAGTCAAAATCTTCGGTCGGTGTCTCTTTTGTTGGGCTTAGCTGCAAGACAGGAGCTTGACCAGCAGGGGGAATCAAATGAAGCGTTTCATATTTTCTGCATCTGAGCGGAGACGAGGGAATCTGGTCTGTCATTTGAGTCGTTTGAACTTTTGCGCTGTGAAAGAAGTTGTGAAAGAATCACCCATGTGGCCTCGGAAAGTGCTGCAAGGCGTCACAGATGCCTTGCGAGACGGAGTGGGCTTCCCGCATCTGAGGTATTGAGCGGCTTTACAGCGTGGTAGTTCGGAGCCCCAGATCCGTACTGCTCCAAGCCATTTAGGAGGTCGAGAGCACCCTGTTCGAAGGTACCTCTGGCCCATCTGGTCAAGGTACCTCTGGCGCATATGGTTCCTCCCCCTTCCGTTGTGAGTGGGTTATACCCCATCTGTATCGCCCATGGCGAATGGTGACCGATGTTCCAAACATCGCCCAACCGAGAGTCCCGCTCGGGTCAGCGGGGGTGTTTGTGTACCGGTTCCAAACCGGTGAACAGGTCGCTTCCGGAGGTGCAAAGCGCAGCTTCCGTAGGATGGCGCAACCAGCGAAGCGAGGCTTTCCGTTCAACGAAGCCGGAGAGGCCTTCAGGTGACATGACAACACTCCTGCGATGCGAACTGCTTGCGGGGGTAGAATTGCGTTTCCACGCTATTTGACACGAATCTGACACGTCACGTTTTCATCCGAAACCCTCTCCAAAAGCTTCCCCCAATGGCAGCGGCCTTAGCGCCCTACTGCGGACGGTTGCGGACGCAGAGACAACTCGTCGCGAACAAGGCTCTACCCCCAGACCCCCAGAGTTAAAACGAGAACCCTTCGCTACGCATTCGGGAAAAAGCCTTGATGGCTTCGAGGTCTTAGTACTCGGCATGGTGGTGTTCTCCTCCACTGTGAGCTCAATTACGGCGGCAATCAACAATCTCAAGGACATCAACGCGCAGGGGTGCCCGGTGCCCGGTCTCGAGACCTCCGGGACATGAGCTGCGGGGGAAGCGTTTGTTCGTTCGTTGCAAAAGGACGTCAAACGATTGAACTTTCGAGGAAAGTGTGAGGAGTGGTCATGAAAGCCTTACAGAGGTGTGTGGTTTTGCAAAAGGTAATTCGGAAGTCCCTACTACTACTACTACTACTACTACTACTACTACTACTACTACTACT